GAGCCGGTGTCTGCTGTGTGCGCTTGTGTTTAGTGTCGTGTCGTGTATATACATTTACAACATTTACACATATACTGTACACATCTTTTGGTCCAGGAGCGTTGTGAAGGGAGAGGGAAAAAACTGCGACAGCTTGAGTGCCTGAGTGCAATGATTCTCATGCGAATGCTGGCGTATTTTGTGATTACACAAAATCATGACTCAGGCTCATACCGTACCAACAGAATCAAAAGAACGACTGACACAGGCATGCTGCTGTCGCAAAGCATCATCTGCCTGGATTTGCTTCCAGGTGATGCATCCCAATGACTCCAGCTGCTTGAGCATTTGGGCATATGTAGCCTCAGACGTGCCTGCCACCACAGGAAGCACGTCGGCCACCCGCACGATAGTGTCCAGCCACTCACTGATGTCAAAGTTTTCCCAATCAATGTCCGGAAGCTCATCGTCACAACTTGGCACATGCGACGCTTTAAGATATGCGCTCCGCAATATCAATGCTCCCATCTTCGAGCCCTTCAAAATGCCTGTGTTTGTAGCATCTTCCTTGAACGAGTGCAGTATCAATTTCAGCGGCTCAGAACTGGAACTGGGTCGTATCAGCTCATCATACATTGCACGAAACCAGATTCGACTGCTGGCAATCAATGCTGTTCCAGCTTTGGTCTCCGCCCGGCACACAGAATATCGGGATATGTCCTGCAGAAGCACAGCTCCCAAGTCACTGGTAGCGATGTTTGATAGGTTGCGCCGGATAGCGAGGCTCAATGAACCAGACAAGGTGAGTTGCTTGCCTTTGCCACCTTTGGTCCTCTCTATGTCAAGAATGCTGGTGTTTTCCTGCTTCTTCTGCTTGCTCTCTAACTTTGTCACCTTCGCACAAAGTCTTCGCACTTTCTGTTGTAGGGCTTTGTTATTTGACACTGCCCTCTTCAAACGACGTTGAAAGTTGTTCTTGGCCTTCTTCTCCGTGGCGCAATCCTTCGATACTGGTTGCCAGGTTGCTGATTAGTTGCTGATTGCTGGGAGAGGGAGAGGAACGCAGAACAAGGAAGTAAGAATAAACAAAAAGTGGAACAAACAGACCAAATCACCAAATCACTCAGACTCACAACTACACTTCTCTGGCGCCAAAGGCATTAACACTAAGACTTAGTCGGCAATAGTCATTCTATACTGTGATTGGCAATGATGCCATACTCAGAGAGTCATGTCAACGTCTAAGTTCTAAATTGCAAACGGCCCTGCTTGAAAATGTGTGCCATATCATGTGAGGAGCTGACCTCGCTGAAGCTAATTCAACTTCCAGTTCATTCAATCGACGTTGAAGTTGTTCTGACAGGGTGGAGACAGAGGCAGCTGAAGGCGTGCACGGTGGTGTGGGTGCGCTCACTTCTCCGGCTCCAGCAAAAATATAGCGGCCCATACCAGAAGATGATGGTGTTGTTGAACCTACCTGTGTATGCTCAAACGCGGCTGCACCACGACCAGAGTCAGGCTCGCTGGCCCCAAGACTAAGACTCGAACCTTGCCGCATCATTCCAGGATTCATAGGGCCCAAACCCAAGGGCGTTTGTCCCCCAATCTCTAAATCTATCTTAGACTCCTTTGCCCGCCTCACAAAGTTCAGACACTGAGCCCAATTCTCACTGTCCAAATCAATTTGGCAAACTCTCTGCAAAAATTCTGGAATGATAGATACATCAAATGGCATCTTGCCATCAGTAGCGTTTGCATCCAGATCTTGCGCCTGTGCAAAGCGCCAAACACCAGCTTCTTGTTGTAAGAACCACCCAGTCTTTCGACGGAGTGACTGGGACAAGGAATCATCTGCTGTAGTATCCAATGGGTTCCTGGCAGCAGGAGGTGCAGTCGTTTGTTTCTATTGCAGTCTGTTTTGAACCCAAAAGGAAAATGTACCGGACATCTGGAATTTGTCAGTTGGATCCTCAGTGCAACAGAGAATAAACCTCGACAAACAGTACAAAAATGGACGCTGTGTCAAATGCCAAGCCATCTATCGGGAAGGCTAGATCCTTCTTGGTAGAGGGATAACCCAAATGATTGCACACCCCGCCGCCTCATTCGCATGGAATGGGTAAAAGATCCCCGCACAATGTTTTGCAACACTCAAAGTTTGTAACACTGAGAAACAGCGTCCTTAAAATATCAGCGGCCACATTCACCAACCAATGCAGATGTTCTTCGTGGACGCACAGCCCGCTTGGCGAAGGGGCCGGAAAAGCAACGACATGCAGGAGTGTCAGCAATTGATCCATCACTGGACCCAGTTGGCACACTAAAAACACGTGTGTTCATGAGCAATTGCGTAGAACACCATGGTTTAAAAATTGTGAATCAGAGGAATCCTGAAACATATATGTGTGGCAACATGTTTTTTCCTGTGTGAGGACCATGGTTTAAAAATTGTGAATCAGAGGAATCCTGAAACATATATGTGTGGCAACATGTTTTTCCTGTGTGAGGCCCACTCTGCTTTCGTCCTTCCTTGTGTGAGCCATGTTTCTTTTGCCCAATACTTTGACACTCTTTAACGGCCAGGTAGCAGCGCGCTTCAATGCATATCCACAGTCTTGCCACACAAAATGTACTCATTCACCACTGCATTCGCACGCTATCCATATGTGGTTAGAGTTGCAATTGCAAAACATCAGGTTTCCGGTGATCAAAAGGAAACAGTTCCTACCCCCACATCAGGTTTCCGGTGATCAAAAGAAAACAGTTCCTACCCCCACCAAGCCCGCCAGGAAGCATACCCTTTCTCGCTTCCTGGCGGTTGCCTGGCTTCACTCCACCAGTCCAAACGCACATCCCTAAGCGTGCGGGGACGAAGCCTGCAAACCCTGGCCATGAGGGTCAGGGTGATGAGTCTGACGTTGATGAACGTCAGGCTGCAATTAACAATGGTGAAAGCTCTGGATCCAGCAGTGCCTCGGACGACGACAATGCAGCGGCTGCACCTTCACAGAACGAGAGCGAAAGCTCTGACTCTCATGAGTCATCCTTGCTGCGAGCACCGACATTGGTGTTGGGCCAGTCTCCAAAGGCCAAATCTGATCATGAGTCCGGGTCTGCATCGTCCAGATCCACTTTGGAGCAATCGAGTGATGAGGAGGAGGAGGAGGAGGAAGCCTGGCCGGATTCCCAGGTGAGTTCGGGATGGCTTGGAAAGGCGTACTCGCACTTTCGCCAGCGGGAGGAGAAGGAACAGGCGAAAAGCAAGGTCAAGATGACCATGAGGGATCTGGAGGGTGACTTGAGGACGGAAGTCGGTCAGCATCCTTGCATGCCAGGTTACTTGGCGTACTGCAAAGACCAACTTTGTCGCTATGGCGAATCTTGCTACTCGAGCTTGACATCCAGGGACGCGTTTCTGACATGGCTTCGCGGTCAGAAGGGCGACAAGGACAGTGGTGTTTTGTTTGGGCGCTGGGTGTTGTTTTCTGTTGTTGTTCAGTGTTTGTTCATTTGTGCTAATTGTAGGGCAGCTAGCGAGTGAATATCTACCATGCACGCACTGCGCAGCGTTCTGTGCAAAGTGTTGCAACTCAGCAAGTGAATATCTACCCTGTACAGTGTGCAGGAATCTGTGCGCAGTGTTGCAAAGCCTCTCAACCGAGCACTTTCCGTGATGAACCTGAAGCAGACTTTGGACGATGACCAGAAAGCCTTTACGATGCCTGCAAGCAAGCGACCAAAGCTTACGTCAGCTGTTGAGCTGGTTCTGGGGGAAGGGCCAAAGAGAGTTGTTCCGCCGCAATCTGTTACTTGCAAGCAATTGGTCACATATCAACCTTTTCTTGCAAGAACTGGGTATGTTATGTTGCAAAACGGTCGAAACCAAAATATATTCACGCCACTGACAACTCCTGTTTTGCAGCCTCACTCAAAAGCACCTATACATTTGTCGCAAACCATATTCAGGCCCAGAAGATGGCAGCTTTGAAAGCTGGTGGTGATCCTGGCGCTGCTGAGCGCCTGACTACCTTTGCAGGCCAAGATTTGCAGGCCTTGCAAATCCCCAGCCGGGCATGGCCGCTGCAGGATAAGGAGTACAAAGGAAAGAAGGGCTATACGGTCCACAGTGTTTCAGGGGCCGAAGCTCAGCTATCCTTATGTTGTTGGGATTGTTGGGCCAGATTGAAATGAGCCAGTAATAAATAGAACCATCCCATTTTAGTTTGAGATGAACCAATGATAGATAGAAACACACCTGTGCAAAACTCTTCAAGTTTGATCGTCAGACTGGCAATCTTCCCTCAACCAAAGTCAAGCTAGCAAACCCAACCCAAAAGTTAGGCAATGACACCTCTTCACACATCACTTCGATCCAAGGCCATTGAAGTCTTAGTCTTCACCCGCGCCTATGTGGTCAAGAAGATCGGCGGGGGAGCAGCGAAGCATCCTGGGAAGCTGGGTCAAGTCTCTTGGGCGAAGCACGGTGGGGCGAGCCTTGCGTGGGATGTGGCTGTTGAACGAGCCAATTTCATTTAATCGCAGGGTATAGTGATCTTTTGATCATTTATAGGGGTGGTCCATAGGGAGTTGAACATCACTCCAGGGACTTATCTTGGGGAGCGCAATGCAGCTACTGACACGCAGCTGCGCCAGCGCAAATCTGGCGTATCTGAGCCGCCCGCAAAAATAGATGAAGGGTGACAGTGAGCGTCCTCCACGTCCTCCACCAAAGATGGCGTTGCATGTGAGCTGTTGTAGTCTACTTTGGAAAGAAGGTTGTTGAAGGCTGTTCTTCAATCCTCAACCGTCTACTTTGGAAAGAGGTTGGTACTTCAATCGTGAATCATGTACAAGGGTTGGGCTCAACTGTGACCAGCTTCATCCCTGCTTTGGTGTTTCCAGCGATGAAGCGCGCCGATCCCCGAGCCAAGCTTTCGGCGCTGACCCTCAAAAGGGCACGAAAGGCAGCTCGGGAGTTGCCCTTCAAGGGTGATGATGGTGTTGCCGCCAAGCGCCAGACGATGAAAAATCGTCAGCGTCGGTGGATGCTGGATGGGCTGAAGCACTTAGGAGCACCCATCGTCACTTGCATGAGTTCATCAAATTGTCCAGAGTCCCAACTGTCTATTCTCTATCTACCTACCTATCTATCTGCCTATCTATCTATCTATCTATATAGCTATCTATCTATCTATCTATCTATCGATCGATCGATCTATCTATGTATGATGTATGCCCTACTGCGCCAAGGTGTTCGCCCAGCTCGTGTCCTTGATCTTTGCCGTGGACGGCTTGGATTGGTCATCGCCTGGTCAGCATGTTGAGACATTTGCTGGAGCCATGTCAGTGACGCGCGGAGAGTGGCAGGACAGAACTTGGGAAAGGTTGTTGATGGCCCCTCAAATCACCACTAAAGCAAACGAAGGTGATACCGAATTGCCAGTGAAGCTGCGAATCAATCCAAATCCCAATCAGCTCACTCAACCTTGATTGGAATGCTCAAAACCCTTGTTTCAAGTGCAAACACAAATCTGTTTCGAGCGTCCAAAAAGTGTACCCTGAAGGTTGGTAGGAAAGCAACCCCACTCGACATAGAGATCGACCCTGTCGGCATGGATCTGACGACAGACCAGGGATTCGCGAACGCTTTGTTTCAAGTAGCAAACTTGGAGCCTGGTTCAGCATCGATGAGCGCGCCTGTTTGCTCGACATTTGTGTTCATGAGCTTCGGCAGAGCTAAGTGCAGGTTTTGGTTTTTCATGGACGTTGATGCCCCTTCGGCTGCCCTCGTCTAAACCTATTCCCTTTCCAAATGCCCCCTCCCAACACTGGAATCCAGGTCGAAAGGCTCACGCCTGCGCAGCAAACTCAACCCGTTGGGGAAGGTCGACCTGGAGTGCGTCCGCGTGGGCAATTTGCTGGCAGCGCGTGCATGCGTACTGTGCCTTTTGTGCGCCTGTGGTTTGGTGGGTGTTGGAGCAGCCGGCCAGCTCCACACTGGAGTACTTGCCAATCTTTCAAGACATGGTGAGAATGATCCCATGCAGGCGCCTTCACATCTTCATGAGCCATTACGGCGGCCCTACAAAGAAGCCGACTTACCTCTATTCCAGTGACTTGCAGCGGAACAATCTTGCAGAAATGTTGTTCGTTTTCCGGCATATGGTGGTGGGATCTTTTGACATATATCCATAGGGATCCATTGTTGTGCAACTTTCAACTTTAGCAGCTTTCAACTTTATTAAGGCTCTCCAAACCACTTCGAGGCCACCTGTTAAACTGTTCCTGGCTTCATGTCATCTCAGGTCACCAACAGATTGATGACATCGCGAGGTTCAGAGTAGCAGAGAACTTGCAGAATCGGAACATGACAGTGCACTACGTGGATGGGTCTGGCAAAAACCGCATCTGTGCGGGATCTGATCTCAAAGTTTCCCAAGCATATCCAGTGCAGACTTTTGTCTCAAGTGATGATACCTTTTCCATGTTTTGAATCTGTCCCTGTATCCTCTTCCAAGTGATGATACCTTTTCCATGTGTTGAATCTGTCCTCTATCATCCAACCTTTGATCTTTGGAAGTGGGTCCAAGTGCGCCAGCGCCAATTCCCCAACCCCCTGCCGCCTTCCAAGGTTTGGAAAAGCATTGGCTCGCTGTCGCACCTTGCATTGGAAGGAGAATGTGAGGAGAGCTCGGCGGTTTCTCAGGGTAGCCCGCAGGACTGGCAACCAGTTTGACCGAAGAAAGCGGGTGAATAACCTGTGGACTAAAGCGGCAAATCTTGAGTCCGTCATGACATTTCTTGCCCAGCAGTAAAGCTTTTGGGCGACCTCTGGATGCTACATAGTAGCATGCAACAATTCATGCGTTAGCTACTTGCGTGCTTAGACGCATAGTGGACAGTGAATGGGGACGTGAAAAAAGGTCATTTCTTGGAGGGGTTGAGGTGACGCTTCAACATGCCAACAACTCCTACCAGGAAGCTCCATTCCAAACCTGAGTCCCGTGTGAGGCCACCGTCACCATGTGCCCAACCAGGTACACCCAAAACACCTAGACGGCTTCCTGGCCAGGTGGAGGCCTTGATGCCTCGTTTCTTCATCCAGCAGGTTGGCAACACGTTCAGTGCCACTGGCTTGCTTCTGCAGGGGTGCCAACACGTGGAAAAAATAGACAAAACACACCCAAAGCACTAGTGCGCTTTGCCGAGAAATTGATGCGATTTGCCGAGAATACATGCGCTGTGTAGAGTGCCCACGATTTCCATACTGCAGCATTCGATTTTCAAGTTGGCGACCGCCCGAATATGCCTGAGTGTGAGGTTAGGCGCCGGATGACTTCGAAGGGGCCAGAGCGTAGCAGCTCTTCCAACTCCAGGCAGCCTGCCCTTCGCCAACCTGGAAGCAAGCCTGGTTCACAAGACCCTTCCAGGAAGGTTCAGTGGGCTGCAGGGCCTGTCAAGATTGCAAAAACAAAGGATAGCGAGATGGAGAAGAGAAGTCGGAAGGAGAAGAAAGTGAAGAAGCAACAAGAAGATAGCAAACCAGTGGAAGTCAAGAAGCGCAAGGATAGCCAGGGCGCTGGCAAGGAGAATGAACGGTCACAAAAGATTGATGCAAAGAAAGAAAGCGCCAAGAAGCAGAAGGTAGATGACAAGAAGAAGGAAAAGGATGAGAAGGAGAATGACAAGAAGCCGAAAGAGAAAAAGGAAAAGAAGAGGAAAGTTCCTGAGACGAAGGAAGCTGAGGAAGTTGAAGCAGGAGAAGCGAAGAAGCTAAAGGAGAAGGAAAACAAGCAGGAGAAGAAGCAAGACAAGAAAGAAGACGACAAGAAGGACGAGAAGGACAGAAAGAATCGAAAGGATAAGGATAAGAAAAAGAAAAGAAAGGCTGAGAAGGAGGGGGGCAAGAAGCCAAAGAAGCAGAAGCAGTCCAAGAAGGATGACAAGATTGTGTATGTCCCCATGATCGCCGGACAGATGCAGCATGTCTTTGAGTCGCCTACAGCAGCAGCACCAGCAACACCAAGCACGACAAAGGCGAAGGCTGAGGCTAAGTTGAGATCATTGCAGTCGCTCTTGGAGACCTGCCCGCCTGACACTGATGAGGAGACACATTCATTTGTGCCACCCGCGGAGTCAGTGGCGCAAGAAGGAGATGCAGAAGGTGAAGAAGTGGAGACTGATGAAGAGGAGGAGGAGGAGGAGGAAAACGATGGAGAGGATGAGGAGCTGGAGACTGAGGCATTTGTCGAGGATGACAGCGATGATGACGATAGCTATGATGAAGAGTCAGAAGAAGAAGAAGAAGAAGAAGAAGAAGACGAGGCAAACAAAGGCGAAGGTGAAGGGAACGAAGAGGAGATGAGCAGTGAAGGAGAGTCCGAAGCAGAGGACGATGAGGAGGAGGATGGAGAAGTGAAGGGTGAGGGTAAGGGGGACGACAAGGTTGACGTCTCTGACTGCCGTGCGCTTGTTCCAGTGGTGGAATCTACGTCGGAAGGGACTGTGGCACTTCGAAACAGCAGCTTGGTTTACAAACTGCGAACTTTTCTTTCAAGATTGGGATAGAGTGAAGGGGTTACGGTTTCAGTTTTCTTTCAAGATTTGGATGTAGGGGTTATGACTCTTGGACCTGTTTGCCAATGCTTGCCAACCTCTCCTGTGCCCTTTTTGTCCAAGGTGTGACAAACAAGCGCGATTGGGACAAGTTTTGCAGGCAAGCCAGCTGTCGATCCAAGTTCCCTGTCGCGCTCAGCGAGCACTTTGTCAACAACAAGTTGGACCTCTTCAATCTTTGGCTTGACAACAACAAGAGTTGGGAGAAGTGCAAGGTCGAGGTTGAGCGCAGGGCTGAATTGGAGCACCAATCGGTGCGGGGTTGGGAAGCGGTTCAGGGGAAAGATCTTAAGAAGCGCTACACAGAAGAGAAGTACGAGGCTTTGGTCAAGTCTAGGAAAGCCGCCGGACTTTGGTATCAGTGTGATGATTTCCCAGACGACCCGGACGACCCACAGCTGTACTGCAGTATGTTTCCCTACCAGGAGAGGTTGAAAGGACTTAAAAACCAAAGGTGTCACAAGGATCCTTGTGACACCTTTCGTTTATAAGTCCTTTCAACCTCTCCTGGTAGTTGGCAACTGTATTTTTATTTGAGCCAATCCAATGAAGGTTGATTGGAGACAAAAACAAACTACTTCTCAAAAAGGAATACACAGGGATCATACCACCACCTCAGCAGGGTCTTAGCCTATCATCACCTTTTTTATCTCTTCGTGACAAATCCTCTAAAGTGTGTTGAATGGGCCCTAAGGAGTGCTGGTACTTCATGCGCTCAGCCCAAAAGTTCAAGCGAATCGACAAGACCAAGGAAGGCATGGCTTTGAGGGCTGAGGCTTCAGTTGATGATGAAGCCCGAGCTCTACTCACCGGCGAGCACGGCCCCCCTTCAAGCCGGGGCGCTTCCAAGCGTTGACGCGGTGTCAAAACCAGGATGCAAGGCCCTCCTCGATGCTGTGAACAAGGCGCTGATGCAAAAACTGCCGCTAGAACGCCCAAACACAGATTCAACATGATTCAACAGTGTGTTGCTGAATGAGCAACATCTCAACCCAACCATTCCAAAGTTTCTCTCTCAACAGTTCCATTCCAACAGAGGCCTCAACACGAGCCAACAAACCCCAAATTTGGGTTGGTGGACTGCGCTTCTTTACATTCTTGACCTCTCTTGGTTGGGGTTGCGCGCTGTCGACCCTTGGGTTGTTCGTGTGCAGGTTGGGACCAATCCAAAGCCAAAGAAACCGAAGCCAGAGGAGGAACCCAAATCCGAGGAGGTGGCGCCAAAGACTTCTCTTGACCTGTTGAAGGAGACCTTGCCAAAGCTTCTGTCCTATGCAGCAACTGCTCGAACGCAGTCCATTTCTTTGTCGAATGTGGAGTATGCCTCTGAGCTGAGCCAGCAGCTCTTGAAGCACGCTGAATCCATGGAACAGTTGTTCAAGAGGGTTCAGAAAGCCACCGACAACCCTGTGGATGATGATAAGATTCTCACAGGTCTTTTGGATCAAGTGAGAAGCAACGAGGCCTTTCACGAGAAGGCCAAGGCGGGGTGAGCCAAGCCTTGAAACACTGGGCCAGTCATGTTAAAAACAGATTTGAAATCTTTGCACCAGTTCTACACCAAGCCGTATAGAAATCCAGCCCACGCTCAACACATGTCCCTTTCACCCTGGACTCCTCGCCGTACAGGCTGCTGCCGGCGCATTCCTCAAGAAGAAAGGCAAGGGGGCAAAAAAGAAGGTGAAAGAGGAGAAGGCCAAGTGAGCTTTCCTTCAGGCACCTTTGTTTTGGGGGGTGATACAAGTGCAAATCACTTGTACGTTCTGAGCACAGCGCTCCCATAGAAGATGGTGGGGCCACAGAAGTAGGGAATGCAAAGCAAAGTATCGAATGTAAAGTATCGAACCAAGCTAAATCCAGCCTCATGTCCTTTCATGTATGTGAAACCCAATCTCATGTCCTTTCATGTAGCCTGCCATCCGGGGGAGTGATGGAGATCGTGATCAACTTAGATGCCGCGTCATGAGGAAATGGGCGCTCCGCCGCGCTTCTCTTCCAACCCCTTTCACCCTTGGGACCCCGGCGCCGGCCGTTGATGCCAGGCCAGTCCTTCGCTCGCAGGACATGGTCGGGGAGCTTGTGCCCAGTTACTGTCATCAAAGCATATATGAAAGCTATCGGGAACAACTAAAGATCTAAGCAGTTGATGTGTCTAGCGGATTTACCACAGACTAGCAGTTGACATGTGCGGTGAAGGTCTCTGAAACTAGCCAAGACAGGTGAAGCACACTTCAAACTTAGAATTTCAATCGTGATTGAAAGATAAAGGAGTTTTCATGATTCCAGGAGGAGCAAACGCCGCAAACTTGAAGAATACCCTGAATCCTCTACAGTCAACAAGCTGATCTCTCTCATTGGTCGTGGAGACATGAACGTTTCAACTGCGGTTGATCTCGCAAACGACGTCCTCCAAGACCACGACATTCCACCTGGTGCACTTCGAGCTTTTGCCTCCTTGGGCGCGTCAGGTGGGCACTTGCAAAACGCAGAGCGCGACTTG